TCACCCCCCCCCCCCCCCGCTTCTCGGCGCTTCCAGCGTCGCCCGTATTAGGCCTACGTCTTTTTATGCAAGGCAAATTCCGTCTTTCCCATCACGTCAACAAGAGAACGTTATACAATGAATACCAGTACAATTATTGTATACATGGCTTGTAATATGATTAAATGGACTTCACATGCATTTGCTTTAATGCTAGTCACTTCTATTCACTTGCTGTAATCGCCTGATAGATATTACTGAGCTAATCTAAAGTGACAGTGAGGCACACAGCGTGGGTGCATTAATCCGAATCAGAATCAACTAAAACTTCTTGTCAGCAACAGTGAAAATTTCCGACACCGCGCTTTTTCATTTTAGTCCGGCAACTTTATAGGCCGATATCCGATACAAATATCGGTACATCACTATTTCAAACTCGAAACTACTATAATCTCTCACACCGGATAACATGAATTTTGAACTTTTAGAGCTGACCAAACGTTAGAAGATATCATTTTTAAACTGGTTCCACATCTTCAGGAAAGTACGTACTGGACGAAGTTGTTTCCATGTATTTGTACTTGGCTTTACGAAATAGCAAAATCGAGCACGCCTGTTTTATGCTGTTCTCTCATCTTACTGAGATTAAGAAAGACATGCATTAATTCATTTTTTGGCAGGTGAACAACAACGTGAAAATAGTTTTAATCACGCTCAAAAGAGGAAGAAAATTAAAGGTCAGTGATGGCGGCCAATCATACATATTTTACTAGGAAGTATAACTTCGATGCTCTATTGCATGCCACTGGAAAAATTTTTGAAAATCCATAGAATGGAAATTGCCGTATCCATGATAATTGTATATTTCCAGACTCTGGATATAGTATCGAAATAGCATGGATATATGCTATGGATTTAGTGGTGCAATTGCAAATCTCATAGACATAGTATATGGATTTCACATTTTTTCCCAGTGTGCATCATGGATGTGTACCGTTTTTAATGTTCTTTACCAGCCAGCTAGAGAAATACTTGGACTTGGTTAATAAGTTAGCTTGTTTTGATCAGATGCGTGATTGGTATTTCAACTATATACCTGAATTCTGAGAAATATTCGAAACATTTAACTTCGACAAATATTAAAAACATTAGAGCAATGCCAATTCCCCGCATCACTTAATTCTTAAAGATGATGGATTCCTGACGAAGTCGAAGGACCTTTGGCAGGCTTTTCTCTAAACGTCGAAGCGAAGCTTTTATCTTTTTCAACGGTAGTTCAGATACAAACCACGACAGCTTATTGTAGAATACTCGTTACACTGTTATTAAACTGCCACGTTATTAAAGATATGTTTTCCAGGTTTTTCCAGGTAGTCAGTCGCACACAAACCACGGCAGGTTATTGCTGAAATATTATAAACTTCAGTTTTTCAATTTATAATTTTTGTAGATTGGCAAGTCTTAATAAAACATTCATTGATTCATACCCATGCATATTGCATTAAAACCCACGTTTGAGATATTGTATCAGTACGTTCTACACGTTTTCGGAAGATTCATATACAATTTTCAGACTGACCTTAAATAAATTTAATGAAAACATTTAACATTATATTTGCTCGTTCCCATAACTGTCAACACGTTGGAAGTCGGACCACCATGTCAAGTGTGACACCATCATATACTGCGCTTAGTGTTGAACGCCCGCCAATATACAACCAGAAACAGTCTTATTCAAACCAGATTTTTCGAAGGAAATTTTAATAACCGTTTATTAAGTTCAAAATTCAAGGTTAATCAATTATAGTATTTTTTATTGTTCATCAATTAAACCTATTAAGCAGCATTTTTTTAAAAGAAAGGTCATCAAGTTTAGATTAGTGTCAGATTAAGATTATATTAGGGTTAGATTAAGATTATATGATGGTTAGAGTTGGTGTTAGATTAGGGTTAGGTTCATCTATCCCAATAAGTTATTGCGCGAATTTATTGATAAATTCAATTTTAATGCATATGCACAAAGTCAAATTGCCTTAACTTTGAACAGCTAAAAGTTGACCTCAAAATGCGATTTGAAGTTTGTCTTTTGAGGTTAGGGATCGCACCGTAAATGTCAATCTTAAGGTCTCAATGGTAACTTGCTTACAAACTTTCTACAGAGGACGAGGAAGACAAGCAATCAGCATACAAGCGACAAAGAGGATCACAAATAACAGATCAATACAACGACCATCGGGACGACCCGCAGATTGCATTTTGTTTGGATTGTATAAAGTAAGATTTATTGTGCAATTCAATACGGGACTACCGGAGCAGACCAATTTGTCATTTGTGCTCATCTATGACTATGTGTTTCCTTTTCAGCAATGATGATGTGTCAAGCAAGTTTATTCAACCTCTAGCAAAGAAATTTATTAAAACTTCAATTCGGTTAACTATTGGACATCTTAAGAAATATCTTCGCTTGAAATTGAATCTCCCCAATAAAAAAGAAGTGAGTTGATAAAAAATTATTTTTCTCAATTTTAAGCCACATGCAGCGAATGACTATCTGCATGTTTTTTCAGGTCGATATATTATGCAATGGCGAAATTATGGGGAAAGATCACACGCTAGAATTTATATATATGACAAGATGGCGACTAAAGGTACATATATAACGTACCATCAATCATTAATTCCATACCATACCATACCATACCATACTATACATTATCCGACCATACCATACTATACATTACCAAACCAAGCCATTCATTTCATACCATACCATACCATACCATACCATACCATACCATACCATACCATACCAACTCGAATTTATGTTATATATTATTAAATCTTCCAATTGTTTTAGAGTGAACATTTACTCACCCTACAATATCGATCACAAGAAGTCCTTCTGACGTGAACAAACGAAAATTATTATATTTCTCATAATATAAATAGAGTCATAATGTGAATAGTCGGTGGGTTTCATGTAATATTATGGTGGTCAGCCAGCCCCGTACCCAGGCATCGCGCTTAGTTACTAATAAAAAGAATCGTGCTTAACTGTTATATATAGACAGTGGCCAAGCTGAGCGAGCACGCAAGGGTGATTGGGGCGCAACTTCTTTCTACAAAGAGGCCTGGGTACGAGACCATTGATCAGTTGGCAATCTCGTCCCCGAGCCTGCGATCCTCGGGAAGGAACGTGAGGCTCTGGGATAATCCGTTTCAGGGAGGAATCTGATTGGCCGTTGAAATGGAATACGTAGTTCAATCTTAGCCAGGATTCCTGGCTTCCGGCAACAGATTATCCCAGAGCCTCGCGTTCCTTCCCAGGGATCGCAGGCTCGGGGGAACGAGATTGATCAGTCGGCAGTTAACATATGAGAAATAATGGTAATTATTTTCATTATGTATAGTAGTTTTTATTTGGTTGCAAAATAGAATTGAGAGATGTACTGTACTCTCATTATCGTGTTCCTAGAAGCGTCAAACGTTCAGCAGGTTAACCATCATCTCTTGCCTTATTACGTTTGCTGAAATCCACCAATAGAATGTAGATAATCTAAATATTTATATTTGGTGCAATAAAGAATGACTGTTTAATTCGCGTATATATATTTCGTATGTAACGTGAAATTGATGCGAGACTTCTGAATATATATGTTAATTAATTTTTTAATCTGGATTTGGTTCAAATATCAGTTAATGATCGAACGAACAGATGAAGGGTTTTTGTCATAGAAATAATAGATATCTATTATTTCTATGGCTTTTGTAGACAGAAATTTCGAATGGAAGATTGTATAGAATTTTCAGACTGGCCAAGAGCAGCTACGAAAAAGCTATAGCCAGTATAAGCAGTATAGGCCCCTCGATCACTTGATAAAGTGATCACTATATATGTATTCACCTCCTGTGTTTGTTGGTAAATAAATTTGACGGAAACATTTAGAATTATATTTGCTCGTTCCCATAACTGTCAACACGTTGGAAGTCGGACCACCATGTCAAGTGTGACACCATCATACTGCGCTTAGTGTTGAACTACCGCCAATATACAACCAGACTCAGTCTTATTCAAACCAGATTTTTCGGAGGCAATTTTAATAACCATTAAGAAGTTCAAAACTCAAGGTTAATCGATTATAGTAATTTATATTATTTATCAAAATCTATTTAGGATTTAAGAGGGCTAGGCAATTTTTTTCAATGTCACGTATTTGCGATGAAAAGTGTTCAAAACCTAAAATCTTTTTGGCCTTCCTCTCAAAATTACTTTGTTTAAGCTTTATTTTGTAGTTTACACAGTTAAGGCTGATTTCCACTGTTGCGTTTTTCGTACGCACGTACACGCACGTAAAACTTTGAATCCTTCTATTTTTTAAATATTTTACAAATAAGTTAACAAATACAAACTAAAACTTGCGGAACACTAAATTCTATTGCTTTATTTGTTTGGTTATTTGATAAGTAACATTTAAACGGATTTAAAGTTTTACGTGCGTATACGTACGTATGAAAAACGCAACAGTGGAAATCAGCCTTAAGCAACCTTTTAAAATGTTCTGGTGGTTAAGAAACACAAAATAATAGTTAAATATTGTCGATTTAAATACAGTTATCATTGATGCTGTAAAATAGACGCCATTAAAACTTACTGAACTTCAGACATCACTTTCTCTTTGGCGTACAGGGCCGCCCAGAGCTTTGTTGGGGCAAAATGCCCTCTTGGGAGTTTTTGGAGGCCCCTTCCACTCCCTAAAATTCCCTTTTGGGGGCCTTCTTAAGCATGGGGCCCAGGGCAAATTGCCCCCTTTGCCCCACCCTGTGGGCGGTCGTCCTGTTGGCGTACCATCTAAAATCTCTACAGTTTAGCATAATTTTACAGATAAAGCACTAAACATACTTGTTAAGTTTGTTTGCCTCTTGAGAAACGTATCGAAGTTTTAAAAAAATCGAATATAGACATCGGTATATTCATTAGTTTCAAGCGCATGTTACGTAACATACAAAATATTCTCCTCTTAAAATATAATTCATGTTTAATTGAAACCGTTTTTTTATTATATATTATGACTATTATATCATGAAATGTGAACCAGCCACAAACGCATGATCTACATGAATGATGATATGAACCAATTGCAATTTAGAGCAGACGTTCGGATCCACCACAGTTATGGTCTAGAAACTCGGAAAACTTCAAAGTCTCCACAATGTCAATGAACTAACGACTTTACCACACAAATCTTAAAAATTTCGCTTATTAAATATTTCAACAGTACTGTCACCATTGCTTCGTGCGTTACACCGTTGCACAAACAAAAACAAAATCATAGAAAATTGAAGACTTTGGCCGTGTTTACAGACCATATCTTGATTGTGGTTCCACATGCATGCGAGTACATCTTCTCATATAAATTCTCTTTAGGGACCGCATCCCTTTCTCTCTATACATTCTCTTTAGGGACCGCTCATTATTTATGGCAGGGGGTGGCACCGAAGAGAAAAGGGTTGGGTAAACAAAATCATGAGTGAGTAAAAGGTGGGCAACAATGAAAAACAAAACAACTCAAGGGTTGGGTAAAAAATTATTGTCATTTCCAAAGCATGGCTCACTCGAATATTGCAGACTAATTAAAAAGCAGTGTCAACAGTCGTATGTCAAAACAATATGTGAATCAATCAGAGTCACTATCTTGATCCTTTTTCGATTTGTCAGGAGGCAAATGGTGTCTTGAAAGAAACTACATGTGCAGACAACATGAAACTTGCACAAGCAGTTATCAAACTCATGTCACAGAAGTGGTAAAGGAGATGTGTGACGATTATTTATTTTTTATTGATACTAATTGAGGTTGGGTATGAAATATATTTGACTTTTAATGGTTGGGTCAGCAAATTTTTTTTACAAAAAAAAACATTTCTCTTCGGTCCCCCCCCCCCTCGCCATAAATGACCGGTCCCTTAGACTTAGTAACGTGAGAAATTTTGGAGCATGCACTGCATGATGACATTATTTCTCTTCCACTGGTCACAGCTATACTTGCATTGCTGTTGAAATTTGTCAAGTTGACTTCCTTGATCTTATTTACTTCTCACTAAAGTTCAGGGACGTCTTATTTAGTTCCTCTACGATTGGCAAAGATTTTCAAAATCTTTGTTCCAGTAACTGAACTGATGACCCAGTTTGAAATTTCAAACAAAGTTTTCAAAATCTTTCAATAAAAACAGTAATTTTGAAACGCCATGCCCGCATTTCGTTCTTGCAATCTCTGATCACGTTTGAATTTCATTCTTCTATTCTGGAACCAAATTTTAATATGTCGTTCTTCCAGTCTCAATTCTTGAGCGAGTCGTAAGCGCTTCAATCCAACCACGTACATGTTACAACAAAATTCGCTTTCCAAACGCTTCAACTGCGAAGGAGAAAACGTCGTTCGTAAACGTTTTCGTGGTGAATCCTGTTTCATCTGATTCGAATCTAGAGAAGAAATTATGATAATGACCGACTTTCAAACGAGATCGGAACAGCACGCATATTTGTGCGCTTGTTAACGTGGCCATGGGATACACACGTAAAAACGCAAAAGTTGTTACAGGTCTGCAAACAAGTTGTTACAAATCTGTTCACAAGCTTTCGACAAGTTGTGTTCGCACTGCTTGTTCCCAGTTGTTGTAACAAGTTTGAAACAAGCTGTTAACAACTTGTAACAAGCTTGATGGCATTATCAGACTTGTCACAAGGTTGTTCTAACAAGTCTGATACAGTCATGATAAACAAGAATGTTGCAAGGTTGACGACACAAGGTTATAAGAATACTGCTATATGCCTATATCATGACTGTATTGGACTTGTTGGAACAACCTTGTAACAAGCCTGATAATATCAACAAGGACAAGGTTGTTACAAATTTTTAACAGCTTGTTCCAAACTTGTTGACAACTTGTGACAAGCAGTGCGAAGACAACTTGTTGACGGTTTGTTGGCAAACTTGTTACAAGATGTAAGATTTTTGCATGGGTACCAATACTAAAAGTATTAAGCCCCGTTTAGACTACACTCAATTTTTGGTACGGCACGGATAAAATTGGTACCCGTACCACTTTTTTGGTTCTTGGACTAACTATTTAGCTAAGCCCCGTTTACACTACGCTCAATTTTTGGTACCGTACCACTTTTTGGTTCTTGGACTACCTAAATAGGTAGTCAAAGAACCAAAAAAGTGGTACGGGTAACAATTTTATCCATGTCGTACCAAAAATTGAGCGTAGTGTAAACGGGGCTTTAGTTTGCTAAAATATCATGGAGTGAGCATGCAGTTTATGACTGAGTCATCATGACCTTCCTATTTCCCGCCACAGAAGTTTGCCGCCCTCAGCATTCAGGGGAAACGGTGTAAGGTGCGGTTGTTTGGCAACGCGTGGCATGACGTCATACCGCAGGGGGTCTTTGATATCTTACCAAGTTCCTCAGCTTGAAACGACATTCAGGACTGTTTTCATGATCCCAGTTTGCCGAGACGCGGGATGATTTCGATGCATTGAAATAAGTTCAAACGCCGGCAAAGGTTCTCGTAGTTCAAGAGGATTATTATTGCTGCTTGACAACCTTTTGTTTACAATTATTGCTAGGGAGATAATGTGTTTTTTGCGTGAGTCATGAACCGTGACTTATGTTAAAATTATCCCGTCTCTCCGACGCGACCTCATCCCGGCAAAGCAGGATCATGTAAACAGCCCTCAGTGATGGACTTTACCGCGGCGAGTTTATTTACATCACCATAATGTGCGTGTATAAATCATGAATATTTAATGAGACGATAAATCAATTCTAGTGATGTATGTAGGTCACATGCTTGCATGTGAATTGTACCACTTTATAGTTATTGAATAACAGTGTCAAAAAATGGTTATACAATCATATGAAATACATAAATGGGAAAGTATAAGAAGTATACAAGTATAATAGGGAAAACGAGGGAGAAAAAACTTTTAGTGTTATTTGTAGTAAACTCTGGAATATGCAGGAAAATAAAGAAATTCCTATAAATGAACAATATTCTTCAGAACATTTTAGTAAGTTACAATGTAATTGTATATATATATATATATATAGTAGTTTCGACCTACATCTTATTCTGTGTAAATAATTCGCATGAGATATTCTGCACGAGGGCCATTAGTTTATTAGCTTGTAGCTATTTTGTGTAACCCTCTTGATATAAAGTTTCAATTCCATTCCAAATGAAAAATTGTCTCGCCTTCCACAATTTCTGCTTTACCGTAAACACTGATTTACCCTATATAGGTTTGGAGAGCGCTCAGCCGATTAGGGAGTTTAAGAGTTTAATGTTTGAGGCCAATGAGGGTAACAGCAAACGGCAAAGTGGAATTTTCTTGGCAGAATTTTCATTTCCCTTCAAATTTTCTTTCTTATGTGAGATGAGTTTGACATAACCTTATAACAGAGAAATCTATGACTATGACAACGTCGACGACGTACCAGCACATATTATTCTTGTTTCTATATTAAACACGGATTCTAAAAACAAGGTTTTTCTTAAAAACACCCTGCCCCAGTGCCCCTGGTGTTTTATCGTAAAGCACCTCAACTGTAAACGAAGGTCATTCTAAGTCAAGGAACGCGGAACTTACTACACGTATGAAAATATATTTTTAGAGGAAAAAACATGTCTGACAAATATCACGCGATGTTCTGAATAGGAAATATATACGAATATAATATACTAAAAACTTCTCAAACTCATCAATAGTCATGATTCCTTTTCTCCTTCAAAGACTGTTTCGCCAGTGTTTTTCGGTTTTTCAAATCACTATAAATAATAACTCCCTCTCGTGTAAGTGTACGCCTTATATTGTTTTTTATTAAGACCCATGCAGACATACTGAATGCGATTAGACAATACCGGGGTTTAATCTTCAATTCAGGATTCAAACATATAGATTATAATTTATAGACATAGTGCATCAATCACGGAAAAACAACAGTATACAATAGAACAAGATAACTATCTTCCCAACTGAAAATAAAACTAACGAACATAACCTAACGAATTTTACGCTTGGTGAAGAATTCAAAACAATTCTGTTACATATGGGCATAGTCACATTGTCTTAAGGCTGGTTTTACACTGTCAACGTTTCTGTGGTCACAGTAGGAATGTGTAAGAAATTTTGGGGGGAACTGATCCACTGAGTCAGTTCCCTGAAACGTTTCTCACAAATCCTTCAAAACTTAGAATTTAAGCCTGCCGCACACGAGAGCAACTTCGGCTGAGCTAACCGCCTCGCTCAGCTATGCATGTATTTCAGTAATATTTTCACCGCACACGTTGGGAAAACTACTCAACAACAACATAATTGACAAAAGCGTTTGCATTTCCATTTTGTTCAAAGTCACATGAAGAAACTGTATAGTCTCTCATTGGCTAATTGATTCCAGCAGCTCAGCACTAAGGCTCTAAGCTCACAACATCCGCAGACGTTGAGATTTTTTCCTCGCGAGGTGAAAAATATCAAACACGATAGAATGATATTTTCCTCAAGAGGTCAAATCCTCACGAAAACTATCCGCACACGAGAAAACTATCCGCACACGAAACTTGCTGAGCTAGCTGCCACGTGAGGCGGTTAGCTCAAACCGTTCGACAGTGTAACTAATCAGCCTAAAGTGAATAAACTGAGTCAACTTCTTAGACTTAGAGTATGGTTTTTGTAATTTTATTTTACCGCAAATTGTGAGTCTTAAACAATTCACTGGTTTGTCCGCGAGTAACCAGAGTCTGGTATGCCGTCTTCAATTCTATCATAGCTACTGGCGATATTAAACTCTTCTATGACTAGTTTAATTAACAAAAGACCAACTTTGGAAACAGAAGAAAATACGTTTTACCTTTTGTGGCAATTGCCTACTCATTATTAAAACTGTAATGTACAATAGTATTCACAGTGAAAAAAATATGCAATCAACTCACCGTTTCTAAAATCTGTTAAACATATCATAGCTTCCTGGTTCGACTTCTCCATCAAGCTTTTCTCATAGTTCGGATAGACCCCTCCGTTTTCGGCTTGATAGCTTTCTAAACATTGACTCAATATCGGCTGTCTTCCTACGGCTTCAAGATCTATATATTGATTTGCGGTCGAGTCGTGAGTGACCATAGGACCTTTGCTAGCCATATCTTGATTTAAGTGAGTTTGGTAAGCAAACCAAGATTGTTGAACTGTGTTGAAGTTCATCCTCTGTCCGAATACACGCACTGGCTTCCCGACCTTCGTTTAAATTCCCTGAGAAAGCAATTAAAATCTATTGTAAGTTTTAAACACGGAAGTGCCGCAAGACATATCCAATAATAAAATGAATTAATACAACTGGCAACTGCCAAAATTATATCATTATGACAAAGAAGAAATTGTCAACACTACTGTCTATATACTAACCAGCTTAAACTTGACAAGTCTGACCGTTCCCGCCTCGACTAGACGCATTTAAGTTGTCCCTCCTTAGTTTTTTATACAAACAAGGAAAAACACGAAAGCAGACCCGTAGTTAACACAGTTGGAAAATGACAATCGACATGTTATTTAGCATAAGACGCGCAAGGATATGCACATTCAGCATTGCATGCGCGCGAATGCGCTAAATTAATTAGTGGAATAAATCGCGGTTTCCGCGACTCTCAGCAGGTTTCCACGATTCCATACGGTGCGCATATTTAGCGGAAGAGAGTTCTGTTTTTTTTAATGACGACATCAGAACATGACAGCGTGCTTTGCTATTGTGCAAAACATTTCTGCAATTTTTATTAAATGTCGGTTCCATCCATACAGATAATTCAATGAATCCAGTGCCAAATTGTGGTCAAACACAAAAGCGTGGGTGTTGTCACGCCATGTCACAAAATTACACTCGAGTGCCCGAGTTAGAGACTCGTGCCCGTTTTATATAGTGGCGTTTTTAAAAGAAAATCTACGATGAGAATTATGTATGTGGATTGTGGATACATAAAAAATTGTAGCAAAGATGTGTCTGTATTACACTGTAAAAAAATCGGTTGAAAACACATAAATACACTTTCCTGAATACAAAACATCGGGAATTCCGAAAAAGGAACATTTTTAATGTATGGTTCTAGCAATTTCGACTATGTTTTAGTCATCGCTCTATTCAGAAAGAGTTTTCGATATCGCGCTACGTAAATGTTATAAAACATTCAAAACTAGAAAATACATCTAGGCATGATATGTATTAATCATGCAGATGGGATAAATATTTCAACTTTAATAGTCCATTATAAAAGTATCTGCTGCGTTAAGATTTACAGTAAAATCATCTTCGAAGTTAATGCGTTCTTAAGAAAGGGCCTTCTAGATCCAAATGTTCACCGATCTTAAAATCTCAAAAGATATAAACTTGTTCTAAGCCATGAAATGACTGCGTGGTCATGAAATGACTGCGTATTTAGACAGCCGGTTAAACGAAGGAGTTTATAGTTTTTGTGTCCCTTTTTGAAGAGGATTTTTCTGAAGCGCCTAATTTTGCGCGGTTTTCCAATTTCCAGTCAAATACTTATGTTAGAACGTAGTGTTATAAAAATAATCATGCGTCATCCTATTAAAGAAACACCGTCGCACGTCATGGGCGAAGCCGTAAATAAAGTGGGACGTACACGGCTGTTTTCAGGCACTAATATTTTGAATGATTTTATAGTCGCTCACGCAAAGCAAGAATAGATCACAACTCACTCATTCACATGCCGCATAAACAACTCATAAATGTGGAATCGTTGCATCTTTTGCCAAAAACAACTCAGAGATCGATCTATTTAAAAATAATTCAGCAGATGCAAGGAGCGAAAATTGGTGTAACTAATGTTGGCGGCATTTTGCATCATCGCATAGCGCTCGTGAAAGAAAGCAAAGAACTTTAGGAGTCTTATATGTTTTGTCATATGTATTGAAGATTACCACAAACTGACACAACACAGTTTTCAATCCAGTCCTCCCTCGGCAATCTAAGGTCTGTGTTGACATGGGCATTCACTTTATTGGAAGCTCGTGCAAGTAAGGCTAAGGACTTACGGCCAGGCGAAGTCGTTTATTGCAAGCTATTGAGATATTGTTCTGATATTGCTCTGCGCTTAAAACTTAAATCTTACACAAAACTCACTGCAACGTATTAAAAAAAATCACTGAAAATGTTAAAAAGTATACGATGGATTGAATTGAAGTATACAATCTCCATAAGATAGCACATGCAAATGCTTCATTCTGAAATGAACTACTTTCGTCTTAATAGACCTTTCCCCTTTTGACTGAAATTTTGATCTAGACAAGTCTGGACAAAAATTTCATCACAGCTTGAAAGAACATTACAAAATTAGTAATATTCCGAAGTTTCGTTGCGAAATGTTGTAAAATGCGGATAATATAGCCTTGCGAAGTTTGCCGTTTTTCAGTCATTTTGTATTACAAATGGGAAATTGATAATCAGTTTGATCATTTGATTATCAATTTCCCATTTGTAATACAAAATGACTGAAAAACGGCAAACTTCGCAAGGCTATATTATCCGCATTTTACAACATTTCGCAACGAAACTTCAGAATATTACTAATTTTGTGATGCTCTTTCAAGCTGTGATGAAATTTTTGTCCAGTCATATCTAGATCAAAATTTCACTCATAAGGGGAAAGATCTATTGGATTAGTCTAAATTGTCCAGGCTAACCCTGGGTTAAAATTGAACCTGCTGTCGTTTTAGTTTATGTATTTCTGCGCGTCTGTTTATTTCAAAACTTTAGAGAAGAAAGCTCCTATTGATCCAGACAAGATCCCTGAAGAAATATTTCCAAATTTATAAACAAGCTGTCAGGAAGTTTGCTTTGAATTTTAAGATAACCTAGCCCTTGGATAAATGGGATTTATTAACACTCTTATACACATGGGGTTCTATTCGTAAATTGTTCGCACTAAACAACATGTACTTTTGAAACATTATTTCCTTTTATTTCCTAACAATACAGTTTACATTGTTGACCACCAAGACGTACTAAATTTCATACTTTATGAATATTATCATGCTCTATATTTGAAAAAAATTTGTTACCTCAGTCAACGGGTTCACACAATCATTGCCGTAAACAGGAAAAAGGGAAAATTCTAGACTGCGTACTGGGTTATTAAAAATTGAATTTTTGAGCTCGATGCTAAAGACGTGGGCGAATTGCTTCTCCTTGGCAAGAGAAAATGTAAAACTGTCACAGCTGTTAAAAGTATTTACATGCGCACACTGCCAAAAATAGGCGAAACGGGTAGCAAGAAAGTAAACGATAAGATTAATGACCAAATTCGGTTGCAGCTGATATTCACAGACAAGCACATTCTCGTACCCAGAGCCCTTCTTACGCGCGTTCGACCCAGCCGTCACCTCATTAATATGCAGAAACGCGAAATAGGCGTACTAAGAGGCCTAGGGGCTAGGCTGCCGGTTCGACCGAGCGCGACGAGGGGCTCTGGCCAAATCCATATCCAAACTGGCATCTGATTGGCTAGTTCTAATAGCGGATATTGTTTTCTTACCATGTTTTTATGGTATCCGGTTATGGATTTGGCCATGCAGAGCCCCTCTTCGCGCTCGGTCGAACGCGCGTAAGAAGGGCTCTGGGTACGAGAATGAGACAAGCAAAAATAGATGAAATAAAAGGTTTCTAGTAGGTTCCAAGCTCCTTTCTCGCAAACATTTACCATTATGTTTAAATGTAATACATACTTCGGCGAATTGGGTTAGTATAGCACTATAAGGGCCTGTTCATATGATCCCGCTTACCGGAACGTCTCGCTTATACCGAGTCCGAGACGAATATTTCCGTGCGTTCATATGGAATATTTCGTCCCGCTTGCCGAGTGAAATTACATTAGGGCCATTTATACGAGACAAAATAAGACGCGACTTACATAAGACGCGACTTAAATAAGCGGAGTTATCGCATAAATGGTTCTCTAGGGCTTTATTCTTATTTACTTGCTATAGCTATAATGTTGTTTCGGTTGTTTTTTTTTAATATGCAAGGCATAAAATTTTACGTTGTTTCAAGTTTCTGGCATGTGTAGTTAAACTTTTTGTCCAAAATTTCTTATTTAAGACGCGACTTAGATAAGAACAGCTAAAAGGCCTGTTCTTATGTAAGACGCGTCTTATCCAAGACGCGTCTTACATAAGAATTTTGTACCTTTTATACGACAAACTCGCGTCTTATTTAAGTCGCGTCTTATGTAAGTCGCGTCTTATTTTGTTCCGTATAAATGGCCCTAATGTTGTTCTATAATTAGCATATGCAAAACTTCTACATTTCAGTCAAGCAACACAAATACTTAGCGATTTTAGTGTTTTTCTTCGATTATTTACAAGAAAAAGTATTGCTTCAGGTGCATATTTAATACTTGTTTACAAAACAAACATAAAACCAAGTAAACAGTGTTAATTTGCCGTGTTATTAAGTGTTATTAAACCGGCAAGACTTACGTGTTCATATGGAAAAATTTTCATCCCGCCCACCTATGATCTCGGCAAATTCAAACGAGATCTCGGCAAGAGGGCCAGCTCGCTTTCTCATATGAACACGATGCAAAAGTTTATAGGAAAATAGATAGGCGGCGAGATGGTAAGCGAGACGTCCCGGTAAAGGCCCTGTCACACTATTGCGTATCGTACTAGCGTATGCCAGCGTATGAAAAATATCACTCATACGCCGGTATACGTTGACATACGCTAGGGGTACGTTAGGCATAGGTTGTATACGTTTCAAGCACGGTCGCATACGGTGGCATACGGCGAGGCAGAACATTTTTTTTACTGAGCATTTTCAAAAATTTTGTGCGTATCGAACGTATGCTTTATACGATAAGCATACTCCAGGCACACGCTGAATACGCTAGACGGCTAGAGGTACTCATACGCTGGCATTTCAAAAGACTTTTGTGCGTATGAAAATTATTTCATTAATTTTGATACGCTTCTCATACGTTTCTCTCATACGCTATAGTGTGACAGGGCCTTAAGCGGGATCATATGAACAAGCCCCAGGGCCGCAGAGAGAAGGGCAGGGGGGGGAAATTGTCCCGGGCCCCAAGGTGCTGGGGGCCCCTGAAAATTTTTTGTTGGGCCCCAGTCTTTTTTGTGTGTTAAACTGATTTCCGCGCAAAGGACAAGATATCTGTTTTCTTGGGCTAAGTACCGAAATTTGGCATAAAAAAATGAGATAAAGTCCCTGGAAAGCAATTGCAACATACGTACTTGTCCGGAAAAATTTTTTACTCCGGAAAATTTTTTTTACCCCTAAAATGGTACACTGAGAACAACACCCCTGGGGGGGGGGTTGTTCTCCGGAAAAATTTTTTCCGCAAAAATGTTTTTGATAGGGGCCCCAAAACAAAATTTGCCCCGGGCCCCCGCCAACCTCTCGGCGGCCCTGACAGACCCTAAGACCAGCACATGACTCATGAGCACATGTGGTGTCATGGTCACCATGCACGCTTGCCTTTCAAGCTGGGAGAGCTGCAGGGTTCAATCCTTGGTCGGACCTCTACTCAAGGTCTTAAAATAACCCAGGAGAAAGAGTTATCTTTACAATCACAACAGTAAATGGTTAGACTTTCGCGTCTTCTCGGATAAGGACGTTAAATCGTAGGTACCTCGGATCCCCTATCAATTGGGCAATAGACCCATTGCACTGACGTCACAGAGTCCTTAGAGTGTCCTCCAGATGCTCCCTAACAATATCTGTTCGGGTACAACAACCACATACAGCGAAAAAATTGACAATTTTAATACAAAATTATTATAAACTTTTACAAAATTTGCTTTGTTTACAAAAGTTATATAATGCGTAGATTGCCAATTTGTCCTCCAGATGCATCGTTACTGGCGCTGTGACGTCATGTGCAATGGGTCTATAACCTGTTGGGAAATCCGCTGACCATGATGAGCGAGAAACTCAATAATTCAAAACTCAATAAACAAATGTGGTTGAACAATCTTGGAAGCAAGTAAACTTTCAAGAGCAAACTTTGCGCTAGTTTTATGCAAAAGCTTTGAATGAGAATATAGTCAATAAACATAATCCCGTTCAAAGAAAGGTAACTATATCGATTTACATTGAAAGTGAACATATGTTCACTGAGAGGAAAATTTAAATTGATTTAGGAGTATAGTCCCGTGTCTTTAAAACTTTATTTAAAAATTTCAATATTTCTACAGCCAACACGACAATAACTTGTTCTATAAATAGCACATCGTGCGAAAATTAGCCCCCTGGAGACAAGATTGCCAACAATATCTTATAGCTTCAGACGTTTCCTTGGAGTAAACGCTTTTCTTTTCCCGTATTTACTCCTATTATTTTCGCAGACATTTCCTCCGCCATTTTCGTAGACTTGCGCATGCGTTTTACGTTTGACCGCCATGTTTCTCGTACCCAGGTACTGGGCAGAATCTAACCTGCGAACGGGCATACTCTGAATACGAGATAGCATTTTAAAGTATCCCCCAACCAAAACTCAAACAATGAAACATGTAAAATGCAACGTGGAAACACAGGGTGATAAGAACACAGGGCTCGAAATAACGTTCGCAACGTTCCCGATCATGGTGATCGGCAATGAGGACTTTTTGCCGATCAAATAAAAATCTGGCCGATCAGGAGCATTTACCCTCATTTCCTTCAAAAAATTCTAAATATGCCAGTGGGCATTAAAGAGGGCCCCCTATACTTTTTGCGTGAAGCGTGAAGGGCTTATTTTACTTAGCCGTGAAACGTGATCGGGCCCCCTATAATTTTTGCGTGAAGCGTGAAGGGCTTATTTTACTTAGCCGTGAAACGTGATCGATGATTTTCTTAATCCGTGACTCGTGAAAAGGCAAAATATTTTTACGTGAAAGCCATATTATGAAGAGGTATAGGGGGCCCTCATTAAAAGCAAGAAACAGCATTATCAATTAAGAACTAAAACTTATTATTTTATATTAAAAGAGAAAATCCTACTAAAAATAAAAAATCCTACTCAAAAAATCCTATCAATTTGAAATTATTATACAAAGATACGTTCGTCGTCAGCGGTTCGGATTGCAGACTGTACTGTTGAAAAGACGACAATATTTCGTGTAAATTTGTTTTAATAAAAGTAAATTAATTACTTTAGAGCGAGAACAGTATTGCTGCCTTTCCTGTCGTATGACTCGTATCAACTATACAAGAGCTTTTCGCGTGTTTTTAAATGTGTTTTATGTTTACTTTTATTTGTCTTTTACCGTGTACAGGTAAGTATGTCTTTTAGACAATGCTCAAATATATTTCTTGCCGATCAAGGTGAACGGCAACGTTGATTCTTCACCGATCAAAAACAATTTCCTGCCGATCATTGATCGTTGATCGTCCGTTATTTCGAGCCCTGAGAACACTACAATCACATTTCTAATAAATTACACCATGATTACACCAAACCTATTTGGCTACTAGTTAACAACATAAAAATATCCAGCCTACATAAATTATGAGAAATATTATATATTCCATGCTCAATAGAAAGCAGAAAATTTTAAATTTTCAACTATATTGTATTACTCATCCTACGAAACAGTCGCCGGCACACTGAAAGATTTTTAATCCGACCGAAGAAACGTATCTACGAAAATATGCGATAAACATCGTTGCCGGACCATCGGAGCCGTCCTTCATCTATAATTACGCCAAGGGACCACGTTGAGAGGACTGGTGATCAGTATTATCGGGTACATGTTTGGAATCTATGGTTGTGAAAAGATGTTTTGATAAACCCGAAGAGATGAATTACTGCGTAAATACTTTTCAAATCTGAACACTTTTGGCCAGGACCCCAGAGACTGCTGAGCGATCAAATTCATAAGCTGCGCAAACCTGTATTCGTTTTTCCTCACCCATGCAATTTAAGTCCCGTTTACACTACGCTCAATTTTTATTACAGCACGGATAAAATTGGTACCTGTACCACTTTTTTGGTTCTTGGACTACCTATTTAGGTAGTCCACGAACCAAAAAATGGTACGGTACCAAAAATTGAGCGTAGTGTAAACGGAGCAACTACCTAAATAGGTAGTCCAAGAACCAAAAAAGTGGTACGGGTACCAATTTTATCCGTGGCGTACCAAAAATTGAGCGTAGTGTAAACGGGGCTTCAATGTTGTTTGGATGTAACATGGGATATGTGACTACCAAACCAGGGTTTGTACAGTACATGTCAGGAAGAGTCAAATTCAAGGACGCGTTTCAAGGGCATTCAAGGACATGTACCAGGAAATTCAAGGACTAAAGAAGGGCTTTAGCCCATTAGAAATCAGTAAAAAGTGACATTGAATTGTTCAAAACGCAACTTCAATTTATTTCAAACAGCTTTGTCAGATATGAACATGCCAATTCAATTCAACACAATGAGTGTTTTTGAATGTCAAGCAAATTTCAGAAAATTCCAGAACTAAATCAAGAAAAATTTAAGAACTTTCAATTCAAGTACTTCTTTAAAAATTCAAGGACATTCAAGGCCGCTTGAATTTTTGTTTTCAAATTCAAGGGCATTCAAGGACTTTCAACTTTGTTACAAACCCTGCCAAACACAGTGAACATTATAGCCTGGACAAGGGTTAGGGTAATGACATACATGTATATGCTCAATTCCATCTGTAACTGACATATACACTCATTTCCGTCTGTATAAGAAATTTTGCCAATTTTTACCATCTGAAGTAGTATACTTGTTCAAAAGCTAGTATGCCAGCCCTTCAATACTGACGTACTTGTCATAGAAAGAAATGGCGAAGTACAAAGTATCTGTATGGGTCAACAAAATAATTTGAGCACTTGCATACGGTTGGTCAACGATCTATTGCAGTTGTACTGAATAGCTAGTGATAGCTGCCGTGCCGGTCAGAAGACCAACAACTTATCATAGATAATTTGTTGTACGTACACACAGTACAAACTTGTTATAAAAATCTTGCTCGTCTGTAATCGTCTTACACAACCCCGTCCCCAATCCCTCTTGTGTCCCTGGGGATGAGGTTGAATAATTACACTACAGTAAGTCTGATTTAGCCAACCTCGTACCCAGGGTTAATTCGCGACTAGACTTTTGTGATTTAGCCTGCTCGCAGGCTTGGTCTGAACTAATCCTTGTTATGTTATTTTGATCATGAAAATTGTACGCCATCCCACATGAACTTAAATATTAAATGAACTTACCTATTTTGCTCTCAGGCATAGAAGATAACGAAGTAAATGAGAGGACTTTCCCCCCAGGATTATTCTCCGACAGTGATGTGGTTGATGGCTCTGCTAGGTTTTCATGACTGGAGTAAGCAACACGATAATCATTGGACTTCGATTTTTCCAATCTGAGGAAAACAAACTGCATTATTTTGAAAGAAATACTTAATTAACGAGAAAATGATTGACGCTAATAAACACTTACGACGGTTTTTCGGATGGTCTAAACTTTCGAAATCTCTTCAAAATTTGTTTTCGGTAAATGATACATAACAGTACAATGATGAGAACAAGAACACCCAAAACGACTGGCACGATAATCTTGGCCAAATCTAAGAGCAAAACAAAACAGTTGATGTACTATTTAAAAAACTCGCAGGAGTGTTTTATTAGGTTTAAAGCCACGAGCGCGCAGCGCGAGTGGCTTTAGACCTAATAAAACACGACCTGCGATCTTTATATAAAAATCTTTATATAAAAATCTTTATATAAAAATCTTTATATAAAAATCTTTATATAAAAATCTTTACATAAAAATCTTATATAGTTTGCATAACAATGGGCTTTTGTTAAAATGTTCTTTAGCTGGTATAAAGACGTATGCACGTGATTAATTTCTTACTCAAGATTAGATAATTGCTTCATGAATTATTAATGAGTTTTTGAATAACATATAAAGCTTTAAGAGCAAAACAAAACAGTTGATTAACATATAGAAAACTTCGTTTCTGGTTGCTGTCTGAAATTTAGAAATGATTAAAAACATTTCAAACAATTTTGGATTGTTACTCGGTCATTTTAGAGTAGTTTTATATGGTTAACCCAACTCCTGACGTCATCAAAACCATAGTTAATGAGGTAAAGCATTTTTCCAAGATGGCGGAAAGCTCATTAATTTCGGTCTAAATATTTCGAGAACTAAGCAAAATATGACAAATCGGTAATAGAGTTTAAAGTTTTT